GACTACAGAGCAAGCGATCTCAGTTGCCCAATCTACTGAACCAGGACGAAGGTATAGTAGGCGTCGGTGCAGAATGCAGCCAATGCACGATGAGAGAAGGAATTGTCACTACCGGCATGCAATATGACGAGAGGTAATGTGGATGTCTCCACTCCAGCAAAACGCCCCTCCTATTTGCTTTGCTTTCCCATCAAGCATATCATCATTCAGTACACGTGTCTCCTCATTCTTCACTTCTCCATTCTGCTCTTTACATTCTGCTTCCTCTTGTCCCATTTCCACCTACCTCTTCCCACGGGCGTTCATCAGGAATTTCAGCTATTTCATGGATTGCGTTGGTTCCTTCCTATTCTTCTTCCTCCATATTAACCCACCTTTATGAGGGATAAAATTGAGTATTTGCTGCAATCTGATAAACTTCATATCAGATGTTTCCATAGGGCTCTCTTCTTCCACGTAGACATCTGTCTGAACTGCTTTGTGGCACCTTCTATTTTGGCGACCTACATGTTATTGATGTTAAAAATACACTCCTTGAGTAAGCAAGAGCACCTTGTTACATGATCGACAAAGTAGCGATGATGTTTTGGAGCCTGCACACCTACCTGCATATATACATAGAACAGGGCTTCATTCTATCAGTAATCCTTCCTGTGATTAGCAAGGTTAGTCCAGAAGTGGCTGGCTAGTAGAAGTATCAATAGGGATGTATAAAATGAGTGGTGATTTGTGTCAAAATAGTCTCGCCACTTTATATGGGTAGTGGTAGTGTTGTCTGATGCATGATGGATGCCCACTTCTATCCGTGATGGTGAATGTTTCCTTGTAGACTCAACGGCGCTGGAGACGACACTTGACTATCACCACTGTTTTATCTACCCCTGAATGTTTGATTAAAGTGATATTTTGTGTCAGCAATTCCCTGACGCTTCTATTGCATAAGCAAATATCCTCTCATAGTTGCTGTATTGAGTGATGAGTTGTGTGCCCTTATGAAGGAATAAATGCCGATTTGATAAAGAGGTCTCAGCTAGGCATCATCGGGTGTTGTATGTAAGGCGACTCACAGGTCGCAGTCTAGGTCGCAGCGGACACAATGGCAAATCACTTCCGCCAATCAAATGTCGTGGTTAACGGAGGTGGTGGTGGCGGAAGCATGGCCGACCACGGGAGCGCTTATCGTGTGAGGCCAGTTACCTCCACGACAATGATAGGGATGTGGGTAAGCGGTTGATGCATTCGCTACCAGTCTTGGACAAAAGTCAGTCAGCTAGTTAGTCTACAAGTGATGCCATGCTTCTATTACACCAACTCCTCCACTACCCAACTGATGCATTCAAACGCCGATCAGCACCCTAGAATTGTCAATTCCACCTCCAACTGCACAGAATACCTATTACTCTACACACCCACAGGTCGACAAACCCACTTTCACCCTTACTGCAGCCACTAGTCTATCGAACCACATCAAGGGTAGCTGCCATACAATACCCTAACGAGACCGTCTTCTCTCACACACCCGTAAGCTCACGAATTGCCATGTTACATAGTCAACTCAGAAGCCAACTGCAACCACAAATGACACCCCATACTCTTGCGAAGACAATGGGCACACTATACAAGTCAAAAACAGCACATTGGAATGAAGCTACTGCAGCATATGAAAGACAGTGC